ACCTGGCGTATAAGACGACCCCCCACTTGGAGGCATATTTTTCAGGGCCAAAAAATCGTCTTATACGCCGGCAAATACGGTACATCAATTACTTTATAATATGTGATGTAGTCTTTACTGCTGTAAAGCAAGATAAGGGACTAAAGAGTGTTGAAGAGTGATTTCCATTAGTTGGTCAGACTTCCCTCTTAGATGATGTTTGAGTAGAAACCTGAATGAGATGAGGGAGAGTCATATGAAAATCCGGGAGTAAGAACCTTCAAGAAAGAGGAAACAGCAAGGGCAAAAATAAGATTGGTGTTGGAAGAACAGTGGCATAGGTTAGAACTGAGTGTCAGTGAGGAGAGAGCGGGAAGAAATGTGGTTCAGGTGGTAACTAGCAGCTAAGGTTGGGTTGATGTAGAAACCAGAATGACAGGCAGAAGAAGGTGAGAAAGTTGGGAAAAGATTTGAAATGTAGTGTTCAGATAGGTCTGAGGGTCATCTTCCTTTTAAAACCATGAAATTGCCAAGATATTATAGAATAAAGAAAAAAATAACATGGCTACTAACAATAACATTTGTAACCATATTTCATCTCTTGTCTTGATACTGGTCTGTTTTAGAAAAGTGTAGTTAGGGTACCCATAGTGACAAAGTTAGGAAGAGTAGCTGTACTGGTAAAGACTAGTGTTGACGGAACTACTGCAATATTTGTCCTGTTGGTGCTGAGCTGAAATCAGTGTGTTGTAATTCTAACACTTTATATAGCATTTTCAGTTTTCAAAGCAATTTCACATGTGATTCTTATAATATCTGTATGATATATAGATGAGGTTAATAACCGCATTTTATAAATGAGGAAATTGAAGCTTAGGGAATTAAAGTGACTTCTAAAAAGTTATAAAAAGGGGCAGAGCTGGTCCTTAAATCCATGTCTCCAGAGTCTGTTGTTAGTTCTCCTGAGATTTCATGCAGTAGGCTTATTCACTTAATACTTTTGAACCATATTGAATTAACACTGTTTTACTATCAAGTCACACTTATATTTTCTTCTAATTTAAGGGGTTAATTCTTAATTTCAGACAATTCTAGATAAAAGAGCAGTGAAGAAAGTACAGAATGTGAAAGAAGAAGCCACAAATATTCAACTCTAAGTGTTATAGTTATGGTTTCAGACAATGAAGGTTGTAATGTTTAGTGGACTAATTATGCATGTCAACAGAGGCCATATTTTGTTCCTATACCAAAAAGCACAAATGCCATCTATATCAGATGAAATTATTTAGATTTTTGTTTGCTTACAAAAAGAGAAAGCAATTCTGTTAAACTCATAATTCAGATAGTCTTTGAAATGTCCTTCTGTATTAGTAAAAATATGATAAATACATTAACCATTTTTTAAAGAACGTCAGCTTGGCTTTCTGTAATATTTTTCTAGTTGTAAATGGTAGTCTATCACAACACTACTTACAAGGCAAGGATGTTGCCCCCTTGTAACTATAACAAGTAACTTGTTTTTTTAATCAAGAAATTTTATTTTTATTGGGTAACAGTGTGTTTTTCCAGGACCCATCAGCTCCAAGTCAAGTCATTGTCCTTCAACTAGTTGTGGAGGGCGCAGCTCAGCTCCAAGTTCAGTCACCATTTTCAATCTAGTTGATGNTAGGGGCACAGCTCATTGGCCCCTATGGGAATTAAACCATTAAACCGGCAGCAACCTTGTTGTTCAGAGCACACGCTCTAACCAACTGAGCCGCCTGGTTGCCCCTTAATCAAGAAATTTCAATGCAGTTTTAAAAGCTAGATGTATTTTTTATTAGTATCATGTTTATTATATAAGTATTAGGTAGGTTGTAATTATTTTTTTAAATGCTGTAATGATGGCTTTTAAGTGCCATAAACATAAATATAGTCTTTTGAATGTTTTCCTTTTCTGATTTGGTGTTATTTATGACTATTTCTTTTCTCCTTTTTTAGGAGTCTACCATGGCTCAAGAATCTCCCAAAAATTCAGCAGCAGAAATTCCAGTGACTAGTAATGGAGAAGTTGATGACTCTCATGAACATGGCTTTAATAGGGTAAGAACACTTTTCTTTCTCTTCATGCAAAGAATCATGATAAGCTCTTAGATGTTGAGATGAAAGTAATAGACAGAGTTTAATATGGGAATATTTTCTTAGATTGTCTGAAATGCCAGTAATCTTATGTTATCACATAGGGATGACCAGGTGGGTCATGTTAGTGATTTGTCAAGATTAAGCTCTAGGCCAGTAAGCACTTTGGCTTTAATGTTATTATCAGTAATTCTGTGTATTACCAGAACAAAAGTGTATCTGGTGATTTTGGCATATAACTTTATAAAACTACTTAATTTTATTTATGATAAGAAAAAATACTAACTACAGATTATCCTTGTAAAAATTGGCACTGTCTAATCTCTTTTCTGTGTGCCTTTAGTACATAATTCTTTGATAGACTACTCCAAACTGTGCTATTTACTTTCTAAAGTGGCAATCTTGACTCAGTGGAAAATGTGATCCTTTTAATTTCGATCAGCCTCTTATTTGAAATTGAAATTTAATTCATTTTAATGGACATACCCAGGATTTAGAGAACATCTGGGTTCAAATTTTAGCTCTGCAATTTCTAGTGGTGTAACCTTGGGCAAGTATTTATTTAATCTTTTCTGGTTTTTGTTTTCTGATTTCTATAAATGAGAATCTCATTTATTTTTATGAGGCTATCGATACAAAATGAAATAAAATAAGTAATATGCCAAGTGTAGTCCTAGAAATGGTAGCGATGGATGGTTATTGTTTCTGGAGATAGCCTCATGAAGTATTCCTCTTTATGACATTTTATACATGTATAAAACTTTAAAAATGTAGTTTTCATATTCTTAAAAAAAGTAATGGTTAAAAGGTAGTTGAATTATTTTTACAGTTTAAGTAGGACTCTTCATATGTTTAAGAATAAAATCCTTTATTTTAGTTTAACAGAAGGTGATATTTTAGATTGGGATTTCTTGGTCTGAGTGCTATCAACCTGTTGAGCCAGATAAATTCTTTATTGTGCAGGGTTGGCCTGTGCATGCAGGATGGTTAGCAGCATCCCTGGCTGCTTGCTGCTAGATACTAGTAATACCCTACTGTTGTGACAAGCAACAATGTCTCCAGACATTGCCAGATGTCCCTACGGATGGGGAGAAACTCTTCTGGTTGAGAACCACTTTAGATAGATTATTTTAGATAGATTATTTTAATTGATTTTAGAAAATTTCACTGAATTTTACTTATTTTTGTCTCAGCAGTTTTTTGGAGGGAATTAATATGTCTTCAAGCTTTAGGTTTATTTTAATTGCAAGTGGTTTAACTTAGTTTCTAAGCACCTGTGGCCCAATATAGAGTGACTCACAGAACAAAAAGACTGTTAAATTCTGAACACACAAAGAACATTTTCACTTCAGGTTTTAGTCTTTCAGGTGTTTGAAAACACTCAGACACACCTGCAATAATAAGGAAACTCAAGTTACCATCATTAGACTCTACCAATTATATTAATTGAAATAACTCATTATACCGAAGTGTTAATGATTGCTTCATCTTATTTTTGGTAACAGCTCTTGCTTATTTATTCTGCAGATACTTATTATCTGCTGTATACCAGGCACTGGATATAGCAGTGAACAGAAATGACAAAAATACCTGCCATCAGGGAGTTGATATTCTAATAGACAATCTAATGAAAGCTAAGGACCTTTGTCTAAGAAAAATGCAATCCATACAAAATGCTGTAGTTTTGAAGATTCACCTGCCATCTTGCATGTCTTCTGTTTCTTCGTGTTGTTGATCTTTTAAGTTTTAGCTTATACACAGCGAAAAGCACAAATGTTAATCAATGGAACCGCCACCCACATCAAATTTTAGAGCATTTCTAAGACCTTAACTGGCTCTCTCTTGCCCCCCTCCAGGCAGCACACCTCCCTCCCTCCCAGGGTAATCACTGCTACTGTAACTCTATCATCATAGATGGCTTTTGACTATTTCTGAGCTGAATATAAGTGGAATCATACAGTATGTACTGTTTTTTGACTGGCTTTCACCCAACATTATGTCTGTGAAATATATTCATATTGTTGCTAGTGGCAGTATTTCATTCTTTATAGTTTTCCGTTGTGTTAATATACCACAATATGTATATCCATTCTTTAGTTGATGGACACCTAAGTTGTTTCCAGCCTGTGGCTATTATGAATAAAGCTGCCGTTGTCCTTTCTGGTGCAGGTCTTTTGGTGTGTATAGTCACCTATTTCTATTGGGTATATACCTAAGAGTAGAATTACCAGTTCATGGGTGCATGATGTTTGGCTTTGGTAGATATTGCCAACTGGTTTTCCAAAGTGGTTGAGCCAGCAATGAGGGAGAGTTCTAGTTTTTCCACATCCTTACCAATTCTTGGTATTGTCATACCTTTTCATTTTAGCCTTTCTGATGGAAGCATAATGGCATCTCATTGTGGTTTTAATATGCATCTCCCTGATGACTAATGATATTGAGCATATTTTCATATTCTTATTGACCATGTGGATATTATCGTTTATGAATTGCCTTTTCAGGTCCTTTGCCCATTTTTCTATTGGGTGTGTGCCTTTTCTAATTCACTTGTAGTTTTTTATATATTCTGGGTATAAGTCATTTGTTTAATATGTGTGCTGCAAATATTTTCTTCCAGTCTGTAGCTTGCTTTTGCACTGTATTAATGGTATCTTTTAATGAACAAAACTTGTTCATTTTAATGAGATCCACTTTATCAATGTTTTCTTTTAGTGATTTTTGTGACCCTTTTAGTAAACCTTTGCCTATCCTAGTATAATGAAGATACTCTCTTTTCTTCTAATAGTGTTATTGTTTTGCTTCTCACACTTAGGTCTGTGATTCATCTTGAATTAAAATTTGTATATGTAGGGGTCAAGAGCTTTTTTTGTCATATAAATATCTAATTGATATTCACCGTTTGTTGAAAAGACTATTGGTTATCCCCAGGAGGCTTTTGCTGTTAATCAAGTGATCGTATATGTGGATTCTCTGTTTTATTTCTTGGTCTTTTTGTCTATCCTTGCAACAATATTCTACCATCTTTCTTTCTTACTTACTATAGTAATTAAGTTTGGAACAAATATTAGCTTCAGTCTTGATACCCACACCTTTGTTTTTCTTCAGGATTGCCTTGTACTTTAAACCTATTTGTGAGTCTTTAGTTAAGAACCTTTATTTGCCTTTGAGTAGCACTGAAAAATTGTTTTTTTAATCCTTGCAAATTTTAACTTTAGAATAAGGAGTCTTACTAGAATTAAGTGAATTAAACCATAATATATCTGTATGAGTTCTTTGCTTATGCAGTCAAAGCCAGTTAACTCACTGCTTTCTAAGTTTACTCATTGGTTAATATCAAATTCTCTTTTTGGAGATTCCCCTGCAATGTTATTTCACTTTCTATTGGGAGATAGAGAAGGAAAAAAAATGAGATGTTGTCCTGGAGGTTTCCCCTAATTGGACGTGAACTTTACCAGTGGGCCAGGCTCCTAAGAAGCAATAATCCACTTCAACCAGTACACCCCACTTCACCTCCCTGAAGAAAGTCAACATCATAAAACTAGTTTCTGTTTGTACCTGCTGTTATTAAAAATGTATGCATAATTCTCTTACATTTTTAATATGCTTTAATTAAAATAAAAATTGGCTTTGTGATCCCTTTCACCATGAGTGAAAACAATATTTCAAAAGCACCTTTTGAACTTTTTGAATAAATTGCACTGAAGATCTATTAGGCATATAGTTACTAAATTTTGACATACTTTCCTATTTCTATTTGGATATAGATAAAAGTTCATAAAGGTGTTAAAATGTATTGCTTAGCATTTTTTTTAATTGTTAGTTTCAGGTGTACAGAACAATGCAGTAGTTATCCTTTTCATCCTTCGCACAGAAACAACCTCCCTCCCCCATCTACTACCCTCCCACCCCCTATATCATGCTTATCTATTACAATTCCATTGACTCCATTCTCACTCTCTACTCCACGTTCCGTGACTCTATGTATGTATAATTATAGTTGACATACATTATTATTCAACATCAGCTTCAGAAATACAGTGCGGTGGTCAGGCCTCTACACCGACTATGAAGTGGTCTCCCTAACAAGACATGAGTCCATCTGGCCCCTTAAAAAATATTTAAAACATTATTGATTATGTTCCCCAGACTGTCTTTTCTATCCCTGAGGCCATATTTTAGTTTTGCTTAGCATTATAATATATTTTATAGACGAGTAAAGAAATCTTATATGTAAAACTGGATCATAACCAGAATTTTCTGAGGCATTTTACTTATATACATCTTCTTTTTATACCTATTTGTCGTTTAAAATCATATAATGGTTTTTATTTAACGTATACTGCATAACGCACTTCAAAAAGTATAACTGCATCGTGCACTTCAAAAAGTATAAAATCTTATATAAAATTAAGATGGTAGTTTATTAAGTTGTCATAACTTGGATGGCCAGTTGGTGTCACTGTGGTACAGGCAGTGACATTGTAAATGTTTTTGCTTTTATATCTCATCGCAGATGTTTCATTTTTCATTTGATTTCCCTTCTTAGTCTGTTTGAGAGGCTCTGGTTAGACTCCTCACATTCATATAGAGATTATAATGGCAGAACTTGTCATGAATAAGTTTTTTATCTCTAGGAGGAATTTTTTGAATGTAGATACATACAAATATTTCCAGTGATACTCTTTGAATCAATTCATCATTTCCTTGATGCAAGTTGATACATGATTTCATTATTATCAAACTCAGTACTGCTTAGAATCTAGACTTAGGGGATGCAAGGGTGGGGTGAAGCCAAGAGGTTAGGGAGTAAAACACTAAAAAAAAAAAAAAAAGTGATACTATAAGTTCTTGTTAAATGTTTGTTGAATGAATAAGAGGGGAATGGGAGAGAAATGAGATTGAGTGTGTGTGTGTTACTAATATGGAAAACCTAGATAAATCAGGAGATTTGCTATCTTATCAAATGCAGTAACAGATATAAGACTAGATTGTGATCATAAAGTAAGTTATTAGACTTAAGACTCCAGAAGTGATTCTTCCTGAGTGGTGACAAGGTCTAAGGAGTGGCCATGGGAGTTCCAGTTGCCTAAGTAGAATGGGGCATGCAAGATGAGAGACATTAGAGATGAAGAGCTTAATGAAATCTGAGAATAAAGTGTAGGTTGGGTTGTACTTTATTAGTCTAATGTAGAGGGCCAGCCGAGTGGCTCAGTTGGTTAAGAGCTTGCTCAAGAGTACAAGCTCTGAGCAGCAGGGTCTCCGGTTTGATTCCTGGTCCGAGCTGAGCTGCCAACAGGATGACTCAGCTAAAAAAAGCCAAACAAACAATATTAGTCTAATATATCTTTTATCTGGCCTCAACATTTTTTGATCCTTTATACAACTACAAATTACCAAACCTGAATCAAATTACCAACTTTAGGCTTCCTATAAGTATACCGAGGGGAAATAAAATTGTACACCTTCACAGATTGTTATTACTACAACCAGTCATTCTGCATCAACATAGGTAGACAGGCTCATGCAATAGATTTTATTTCATTTTAAATATTTCACTATTTTGTATTTTCAAAAATAAAGTAACATACTACATACCATGCCATTAGTACACTATGGTTTTGATGAGCTATAAAAATTCAGCTTAGTCACCTTATATTATCACTTTGAAAGGAATTGCAAACTGAACATAGAATCGTTCCCTGGCAGTGTGCCCAATGGCATGCAAAAGATTGGGAACACCCAGGATAATGGTGCGAGTTGGGGATAGAGCAGAAGACCTGGAATGCCAGAGCCCTCAATAAATATTGGGGATTGACTGGAAAGACCATAGATGATAGTGTTAAGGTGGTGAAGAGGGCAGTGAGGTAGGGTGAAGTAGGGGAAGGGGTCAATATTGTGCAAGGACTGGAAAGCCGAGTTCCTCAAAGCATAGACAAAGGATTACCTGCATGGAATCATCGGGCTGACTTGTTTGAAATTCTGGCTCCTGGGCTCCACATTCCAACTTAAAGTGAATTGCAACAGGCAACTAAGAAAAATTTACATTTTTGATAGGTTTCTCAAGTGATTCTTACCCAAACTAAAGTTTGAGAACTGGTAGTTTAGAAGTGCCAGTGGAGACTGAGAAAAGTGCTGACCCTGCCTTCTACTCACTTGATAAGTAGAATGTTGGAGAATAATCGGCTTTGATGCCAATAATTGTAGAGAGGAGGCAGAGAGACCACTATGAGGAGGTTAAGGATGCTGCAGTATGTTTACACCAGAACTGGGGATGTGCAGGTCTGTTTGAATAATAGCTCTGCTTCTGGCCGCTCTTCCATATAGGCAACTTAACTGTTAAAACAGCAAAGGGGATTTTAAATTACCAAACTTCATAGAACATTTAACATAAAGTTTTTAATTTGTTTCTTCAAAAATTATGTAAATGCTTTGGAAGGTTTTATCCATTTTGAAGAATGAGATAGGTTATTTAAATGTAGGATATTTCTTTGGAAATGAAGTATTAGTGTTATATCTGCTGGATGCTAGAAATACTAAAGGGGACAAGATGGATAAGCAGCCTGGTCGTAGAGAGCTTACAGTCAGCAGGGAAAGAAGAGAGAGACAAATTAATGTTAATGCTGTGTAAGAAGTGATATGCTAGGCCAAGTACAGCATGGTCTGGGCATGGGAGGAGGAGTATGGAAGAGGAAGGTTACCTGAGGAATTGCTGTCCAAGCTGAAGCTGAAGGATGGACTAGCCCGATGAAGAAGGGTGAAGAATGTTCCCACCCGAGGCAACTCTGATGACCTGAAAAAGGTGGGAGACCACAGAACTGAAAATGCATTATTTATTGTTGAAATGGAGAATGTAGAGGCAGATGTGGGAGAAATTGAGGCTAAGAGAAGAGAGGTAAGTAGGGACCGGATCTCATGAAACCTTAAAACCATATTGAGGAGTTTGGACTTATTCTAAAAGGCAGTGGAGGACCACTGAATGACATAAAAATGAAAGTGTCTCGATCCAGTTCGCATTTTAGGAGGCCAGAGCCTTATCCATTAGGCGACCGGGGCTGACCGATTCGCATTTTAGAAAGTTGTTTCTGCCTACAATGTGAAGAATGAATTTCAGGAGTGACAAGGGAGACCCGATCAATTAGGCCACCAAGGGAGGAAGGGAAGGAAGACTTTCTCTTGTAGAGAAACTAGAACTAGTAAAGAACACCAAGCCACTTTTAAAGATGCAGACAGGAGGAAAATGGGGAGAATACAGTGTAAGGAAACTAAGGGAGAAGAGAGTTTGTATAATTTATAAAATACTTGGAGAATCCTTACAGATTGTTGATGGTTACAGTATATGCTTTGAGAATCACTCCTTTATTCAAGATTTCTCCTCCCCCTAAGTAAAAGGGGAGGATTAATTAGTAAATCTCAAGTTCTGCTTGTATGTTGTAGTGTTGTGCATCTTATTAAGGATGTGTATTTTAAAGCAAATTTGTTGAAGATTTTGTGTTCTTTATGTGTTGGTCTTGCACTAACTTTAGTTCAAAAGTAGATTACCATGCTAAATTATAAAGTTACGTTTTTAATCTCATTCCTATTCTTACCTCTCTTAAAATATGCAAAATGTAGAAGTTATTTTTGAAAGTGAGCACCCTTTCACAGCTTTATGGAAGCTATTACTACAAATGTTATTTTGTATCCTTTGAAAAGGACTTAAAATATATATGAAACTTTTGCCAAAAGCATTATATTTTGATTTAGCTTAATTATTTGAACATTTACTTTTTAAAACTATTAAATACTGCAGCATTATCCTCGTGATTTGAATAGAGAGTTAATTTTAAGGCTTATCCATTTTATTGTATAGTTGTTAAGCACAACTTTGCAAAGTCTTAAACTTTGAGTTGAATGTCAGTGACATAAAAATGCAAATTAGGGATTTTATGTTGTTAGTTATAAATGGGCTCATTGTCTCTCAAATATATTCCAGAAACTATAGGAGTGAATGCCATCATAGATATTTAAAAAGCTACTAAGCTAGGCACAGCTGTTAGAGATATTTTAAATTTTTCTAAGGGTTAATGTAATGGCATATTTTAAGTTTTTGTGAACTATGAAGCTAAATTATATTACTTGGAGAGTATGTATGTTACAAAAAAACAATCAACAAGCTCATACAATAATGAGTGTTACCTCACAAGTCATGCAATCCTCTCATGTAGCCCATATCATTTTGTGTTGCACTTAGCTGCCAGACCACTATCAATTGATAATTCTGTTCAGAATCTGAATAGGCTCATTTGTACTACTTTTAGTTAGATTTCTTCTGTTATTAAACGCTTAAACACACAGGAAGTCCTTAGTGCTTTTCAGATTTTACATCTGTTTTACATAAAGGACAAGAGGTGTTTTTTGTTGTTGTTGTTGTTGTTGTTTGTTTTCTGGAAGCATTATTGATTGTTGAATAAAGGATCCCTAGAAGGACCAGTGTGGGGAGGGGTTTGCGTGAGATGTAGTATCCTTAGACAACTAGAAGCTGTTTCTCCTGGAGGCTATGCATGACAAGATGGAAGGTGTGCCTGTAACTTCTTGAAAACTTAAGTAATCAGAAACATCCATCATATTTACTATTTAATCTATTACAAGCTCCCTTCTTTCCAACTACTGTTACTACTATATCTCTTTTCTTGAGATTTATACAATATTTTGTGACAGGACAGATGATTCAAATGAGTAATGTTCCTTCAGGTAAGTTCCAAGAATACAGCAAACACAACTCTCTTGGACCTCTATGCCATTTGTATGTTGTTTGAGTGTGTTTAGAACTAATAAGTTCAGGAATGTTGCAGGATATCAGAGTAATATGCAAAACTCAATATTATTTCTACTAGAAATAAATAATCCAAAAATAAAATTAAGAAAACAGTTCCATTTACAGTAGCATCAAAACTAAGAATATACTCAGGAATATGTGCAGCACTTGTACATTGAAAACCATAGAACATCATCAAAAGAAGTTAAAGAAGATCTAAATAAATGGAAGGATATCTCATGTTCATGGATCAGAAGACTTAATTTGTTGAGATGGCAATGCTTCCCAAATTAATCAGAGTCAGCATAATCTCTGTCAAAATCCCAGCTTGCTTTTCTGGTAGAAATTTACAAATTGATTATATATAGATGGATGCAAGGGATCCGGAATAGCCAAAAGAATTTTGAAAAAGAAGAACAGAGTTGTAGGACTGACTACTTCTGATCTGGAAACTTACTGTGAAACTACAGTAATCAGAACAGTATGGTACTGGCATAAGGAAGACATGTAGATCAATGGAGCAGAATTGATAGCTAATGTACAGTTAGGTTGACCAATATCAGTGTTTAATGTAAATCTAAATAACAGGAAATTTCCCTTACCTCACCCTGATTAAAGTTAGAAAAGCCCTGTTTACCAAGCTAACTTTGAAACCAAAGGGAAATTAATATTGCAATTGAATGATTTGTTTATACTAACCATTAGCCAGGCTCATCATGATTATATTAGGCATCAGTCAGCTTTTTAATATTAAACATGGCTTTTTAGTCATCTTAATTCTGTTCTTTAAAATGATTTTCCTGATGTATCAGTAGATTGGAAATTTGAAAATTGTATTTTAATATCTCCCTGCTGTTTGTTCTAGAATAATTACAATATTTTTGTATTTGACATACACTTTACCTCTTAATCGCAAATCTTACTGAGTGAGTTTGCTGCTGGTGATGCATTATTACAGAATGCCATGATAACATAAGGGAATACTACATAGTAGAGAGAAAAATAGTTTAAAATGCGATTAAAAGAACACAATTATGCTGAAATGTTATGTGGTGAGATTTTTTTACAAAAATTTTCTCTTCTTTTCAAATTTTGCTAAGGATTTGAAACGTTCATTACCAGCCGGACTTGGTCTCTCAGAAACCCAAATTACATCTCATGGCTTTGACGGTACCAAAGAGGGGGTTACTGAAGCGGGAGCATTTCAAGGTATGAGCCCATATATTTTTAAAGATGGCAGGGGTGTAGGATAAGAGAAATTCATCAAATGCTACTTTTATTAATAAAGCATAAGAGTTGAAGCCTTTAACTCTGTGATAAAACACCAATTTTAAACATAATCCTTTTTAAATATGTTAGGAATTATTTTAGTAGTCTTGTTTATATAAATTAATGCATAACTTCACTGATTATTATTTAGGAATTGGTTTTTTTGTTGTTGTTGTTGTTCTTCTTCTTCAGTCTAGTTGTGGAGGACGTTGCTTCACTGGCCCATGTTGGTATGATCATTGTGCTCTTCCTGGGTGAGGCAATCAGTTGCTGGTCATTGGTCGGGCTGCTCATAGCGGCTCCCAGCAGCTCACACCGGCTGCCAGCCACTCATGTAGCTCACCGCAGCCCACTGCAGCCCCGCTGCAGCCCTGCTGCAGCCTATGCCGTCGCCGGCGACTCATGGCAGCCCAGCTCCAAGTCGAGCTGTTGTTCATCATCTTAGCTGTAGAGGGCAGTGTCACTGGCCCTCAATGTGGGATCCGAACCGCCGCCCTGCTGCTCAGAGCTGGCGCTCCCAAGCAAGCTCTTAACCAGCTGAGCCATTCGGCCGGCCCCTAGGAATTGGTTTTTAAATACTGAAATAAAAACTCAAAAATTATATCAAAAATGTAGATTTAAATTATTGGGTTGTCGGAAAAGTCATGACGCATTTTTGCAACAAAAACATAGAAAAAATACATCATAACTTTTCCGATAACCCAGTATTTTAGCTTATAACCACAAAATTTATAGCTATAAATCAATATTAATTTGTATAATACATGTTTCCTATTTCAAAGCTATTAGGAAAATAAAACTTCTGTTTTTTTGTAGTATACATGCTGTATGGGAAGTCTCTAAGACCACCATCAGATCAGTAATTTGCTAAGAGGACTCAGAACTCAGTATGTAATCATACTCACTGTACGATTATTTAAGCAGCAGTACACCAAGCACATCAGCAAAGACAAAGGATTTCTGAGGGGAAGTTCTGGGAGCAAGGAGGCTCAGGGCAGTCACACAGGACACAATTAATTCCACCCCGCAGAACTGTGACAACATATATGAAGTGTTGCTGACCAGGGAAGCGCCTTAGAGACTCAGTGCCCAGGGATTTTATTGGACATTGCTCCCAGAGGCACCCTCTGCCTAACGTGTACCAGGATTCCAGACTCCTTGAAGGAAAGAAGGTGTTCAGCAAAACCACATTGTTTATATCAACAGTGGAGGCACAGTGAGCCAATCTTAGCATTCTGGGAAGGGAGGGAATAGTCCCCAAATTTAAACTCCCAGACACCAAGCAAGGGCCAGTCTTGTAAGCTGGTCTTCTTAAGAACAAGCAGTTGGACCTGCTGTGTTAACTCTTTTCTACACTCATTTCATATATAGGTCTATTTTTTTTTTTTTTTTTTTT